TCTCTCTCTCTCTCTCTCTCTCTCTCTCTCTCTCTCGGAAGCAAATGCAAACAATATGTGTGTCTGTATTAATTTTGTACTTTATTACATGATCTCTGAATTTTAAGTTTGCAAAGGTAAACTAGCCTTTGCAGCCACATAGTACTAGTGACTGTGTATCCAATGTCTTCATCAGGTTGGTGATGACAACGTTTAATATCATAAGACCAAAACTGGAACCTGTTCCCAGATCCTCAGTTACTTCCTTCCTGGTTGGCTGTTTCTTTAATTAACACTCTGTGGCAGGTTTTATACAGCAAAGGAAAAGCTGAATTTCACCAGTTGACTTGTATTGTGAGGACTAATTAGACCAGGAGTCCACCCACCTGGGCCAATTGACTATTCATTCCATTTCCTCAGTGGCCCCTTAGGTTCTCTGAAGAATCCGTAGGGCTGTGCCAACTGCCCTTGAAGATTGTTAGCATAGTGGAAGGGTTCAGAAGCTTAGGAGTTGGGCAAGGCCAAGATATTGATGAATCTGATTTTCAAACTCACCTTTTACATTGTTGAGATCATTGAATGTCCCAGAATAGGCAACGTACCAATCATAGTGTTTGCTGTTTATAATGTTTGCTATAATTATGTTCCTTTCCTTTTCGGAAACTTCCAGAAGCTTTTAATGCTTAGTGCATATAGTATAATTGATATAATATACAACTGGCTACCAACCTCTCATTCTAGACTCACTTTTCATTCTGGAAGGCCTAAGCTAAATAATATCCCTAAAACATATATTATGTATTCTAAAATCTGTCTTTAGACTAGTAACCCTATCAGAATGCTTTTCTCCTACCTCTGATATTTACCTTAAAAAATTTTGACCAAATTAGAAAAAAAAAAAAGAGAGAAAACTTTCCATTCTTCAAATTCAAACTTCAACTCCAGCTTTTCAATGAAATGCTTACTTTCGGTATAAACTAAAGTCAGACTTCTTTTCCTACCTCCCCATGTAATTCCTGGATGCCGGATATCTGACCCCTTGCACATACTGTGAGGGGAACTATGTATGTATATAAATGTCTATTTCCTCCAATGGAATACTAAGCTCCTCAAAGATGGGCAGAAACAAAAACTTAATTAAATCTCCACACACTCTTATATTCTAGTTTGCTGGCACTAGCACATAAGGAATATATATTCACTGATTTGATCTTAGAAGAAACTGACTCTGTGAGTTGAAATCCTAATACTACTGAAATCCTAACTCACAGAGACAGACACACAAAGCGCACCCCTGAATACACTCTTGGGCTTATCTATGGGAGGAACAAGTGATACTTTAACATACCACACCAATATTCCTATTCCAGAAGGCTTTCATTGATTGTGGAGGAGTAAAAAAAAATAATGACAGAAAAATAGTAAATGATGATAGCTAGAGGTGCTGAACTACTTAACATGCTTAGTTAATTTGTTTAGTCATTCATTCATCCTCAGCATAACAGYTGAGCATCTAGTATGCACTGAGTTTTCCTTTCTTCACTTGTTTGAATTTATTTGATAGCTTAGTTTCTCTGATGTGGTTCAACAAATATTAAAGACCAGATGTAAGCAAAGCATGACACCTAACTTACAGGACAATGAAATGGTCCCTGTTCTTAAAAGAATACACTGAATAGTAAGGGAATACAAACATCTCCCTAAGAATTTAAAGCCATGTGTTCACAGGGCACAATGAGCGGATAGAAGCAGAACATGTACTCCAGTTCAGGGAAGTCAGGGAGTTTCCTGGAGCAAGAATATGATAGAAAAATTCATATCAACATCTGTTAAGACTGGCAGGGATCCTGAGCACCGAGAGACCCAGTCCAGGTAATAGAGATATGCTGGCTCATTAGACAGAGGGGCACATAAAGGTGCTCACTTTCTATTCAGTGGCCTTTTGCCCTTTCTGAACTTGCTTACTTGGGGTTCTGAAGAGTTTGCTTGATAGGAGTCAGGCAAGGCCAAGCTATTGATGAATCTGATTCCTGGCACTGGAATAACAAAGTACCACGAGCTAGGTGGCTTAAAATGAGAGAATGCTCTCTCTCTCCCGGATCTAGGGGCTGGAAATCAAGGTGTTGGCTGGATCATGCTCTCTTTGAGGTCCCTAGGAAAGGGCCCTTCCCTCCTGCTCCTTCCAGCTCCTGGTTGTTTGCTGGCCATCTTTGGCACTCCTTGGCTTCTGCCACACGACTCCGGTCCCTGCTTTCATCTTTGTATAGCCTCCATCTTCACATGGCCTTCTTTCTTTATTTATTTGGTACTGGGGATTGAACCCAGGGGCACTTAATCACTGAGCCACATCCTCAGAAAAACCCCTCCCCCCACCTTTTATTTTTAATTTTGAGATAGAGTGTCACTAAGTTGCTAAGGGCCTTGCTCAAGTTGCTGAAGCTGGTTTTGAACTTACAATACTCCTGCCTCAACCTCCAGAGTGGCTGGGATTTACAGGTGAGCACCACCATACCTGGCCACATGATCTTCTTCTTATAGGAACACCAGTCATATGATTATTCAAGACCCACCCTCCTCCAATATGACTCTCATCTTAACGAATTACATCCGCAATGGCCCTATCTCCAAATAAGGTCACATTCTGAGAATCAGAACATCAACATACCTTTTAATCTTTTTTTTTTTTGGTCTGGCTACCCCGTAAGAGTGGGTATTCACAAATTATGCTATGTTGAGTGTGTTCTAAATGCTCAGTCTCACTGTGAAGTCCTTCAGGGAAAGGAATGTTCTTTCTCTTTCTTGTTACCCCACAGTCTTCTCCACAGCTCCATACACAGCCCCTGCTTGGTAAATTCTCATCAACTAACAGACTTCATTACAAAGTGACAAGCCCATGGACAGTCTTTTACTGYGATAGACAAAAACTTCTTGGCATTTTATACGCATCCATGTAGCCCCACAGAGGTGAGGTATGTCAAGGAGGCAGGATCACCAGTCGGCATAGGCAATTTTATACTGTATTTTATCCTTTCTACTTATCCCACCTTAGGAAGCCAATGAAAATGGGGGAGAAAAAGCAAGAAAGAGAAATTTTGGTAGTAGAAAGTGGGGCCTTATGGAGAACCAGAACTGGGGAAGACTGCTTATTTTGCATTGGCACTAATGTAGTTCACTCTTCCTGTTTAGTGTAGCCTGCTTGACCACATGGGCCACTTCAGAGCTGCCTAACAAACCAACATAATGCACTATCGTTCTTCAGAAGCAGTTTAGCAGACCCAGTACTTACCTTACTTCAGCCATCATCATGTCCTGCAGTTGCCATGGCTCCTTCAGAAATGCACCTAAGGTGTCCTAAATATACTTGGCAAGAACTTCATGAGAGCTTGCACAGTCGGCCCTCATGAAATACACATGAGCTTCAGAAGAAGGAAGCAAGTGAAAAATATAGCCTCTTTGGAACTCTGATAGATACATTATTGGGTCACCGTATTAAGTCTCTTCGCGGTACCTAGTTATGCACATTGATAAGTACCTATATTATACATTCCAATGTGCAGTCATGATAAAGTAGAGCATATGTAGATCTTTAATGATCTTTATGGGAATGTCATTAGATACCTCTTCAAGCTAAACACACACACACACACACACACACACACACATATACAAGAAAGTCTGTCTTCTGTGATGAAACACCTTATAATTCTATATTGTTTCCTTCTTTTTTTTTCCCATTCTCTACAGATGGGCTTTCATTCATGTGTGCATAAATAAGGGAATTCATTTCACAGGTCTACAGGATGAAGGAGTCCTTTGTGTGAATGGACAGTCTCTCASATGTGGCAGCTCAATCGCGTTCATGAGACCATCATGCAGAAACAACACAGCAGAGAAAAAGACTTAACAGGAAGAAGTCCCTCAGTGCAGGCAAAGAAAGAGATTGTGTTGCACAATGTGTAACGGCAAAATTTGAAGGAAAACTAAGCCAACATGATAACACTCTTCTCCTGGCTGAACTCTCTCAATCCCTGCAGCTCCATCACACACTATGGATTCTGACAATTACCCAGCTGTTTCCTGTCATGGGAGGAGTCTCTACAACAAGTCTGAGAGTTCTCTGAGGCCATGTCTTCTGATCTCTTTATTTGACCTCACCTTCCAATTCCACTCTGACTTCAATATACACATTCTTGGGAAACACCATTCAAACACCCTTTTCCATTCTCCTAGCTCTTAAGACATATAGGACCTGTACTAAATTTAAATCCCTATTAATATTCAGCCAAACACTTTAGTTTAGGGAGAGTTGACTATACAATAATGAAACTGTATAGTTTTTCTACAAATATACAGAGCTTATGAGTTACTATATTAGTTCATTTTGTATTATCATAATAAGATACCTAAGGATGGATACTTTAAAAGAAAAGAGGTTTATTTGACTCATGGTTTCACAGTCGAAGCTTAGGCAGTCACATTTGATTGATCTCTGGTTGAGGAGCTTCTACTACTTCACAACATGGCTGGTGGCAATAGTGGTGAGTGGCATGAGCAGAAGAGGACAAACGTGGGTGCTGCCACTTTATAACAACCTGCTCTCAGGTAACTAATCCAGTATGCACTATACAACCCTCACCCACAAGACAGAAATAAACCACATTTTTTGAGGCAGCACCTTAATAACCTAATTACCTCCCACTAAGCCCCACATCTTAAAGGTTCCATCACCTCTTGACACTGTGACACTGAGACTAAGCATCCAGCGCATGAACCTTTAGGGAATAAACTATATTTAAACCATAGTAGTTATTCAAGAATATCCGTTTCATTAATTTGTAAYTTTATTTTTTTAACCTATGCTGTTATTATCTATTTCACCAGAATTGGCCATGAATCAATAATACAAAATGGGTAGATATATATGTTCCTTTCTTCATAAATATTGACCCATATCTTTTTTAAAATGTAGAATTTCCAAATCATAATAAACGAGTAACATTTCTTAAAAGAATTTCTTCATGGTGCTCACTTTGGCAGCACATGTAAATTGGAACAATACCAAGAAGATTAGCATAGCCACTGTGCAAGGACAAACAAAAATCCATGAAGTACTCCATAGTTTTTAGACAAAGAGGAATGAAGGAAAAGGAGAGGSGATGGGAATGCGAAAGACCATAGAATGAATCTGACATCACTTTCCTATGTTCAAATATGATCCACGACCAGTGAAACTCCACACCATGTACATGAAATACTCCATGTATGTATAATATGTCAAAATACATTCTACTGTCATGTACAACTGAAAAGAACAAAGAAAAAATTCTTTAAAAAAACCCTTTGCATGAAGTTGCATGTTTATTTTCACAAGATTCCTTGTACTTGAATCTTTTGAAATTTTCCATAAATTCATTCAAAAACATTTATTAATCACCCACTACACAAGAACCATTTCAGGAGTTTATCTCTAGTAGTGGAGATAACACCATAAACCGCCTAAGGATAGAGCAAGTACAAATTATGAAGAAAAGTATCAAGGAGAAGAGTACAGTGGAGAATGGGGTTGGACATGCTGGGCAGAGAGACACTGAGATGTCATACAGGGGAGCCAGGAAAGGCCCCCCTGAGTCAGAGACATGTGAGGAGAGACCAAAAGGAATGAAGGGAGTGAGCCAGGCGGGGAGCTGGGGACAAGCACCGTGGATGGAGGGAACAGTGGCCACAAGCCTCAGGAAGAAATGAGCTCGGGGTGTTTGAAAAACTGCAAAGAGGTCRGCAAGTGGAAGCCACATGAGTCAGAGAGGTTACAGTCAAAGAGCAGGCCAAGAAGGGACAGGTGGAGGCAGCTGCATAAGGCACAGTCTGTGGTATATGAAGTCACTGTAGGGATTAGAACAGGGGGCTTTTAAAAGAAGTTTTATTTTAGTTCTTAATGCTTATGGGGTACAGTGTTTTGATGCATGTGCATTGTGTCATGATAAATTCAGAGCAATGCATATATATCCATCACTTCTAACACTTGTCATTGATTTGTGATGAGAACATTGAAAATCCTCTCTTCTAGTTGCTTTGAAATATACAGTAGTTGATCTCATAGTAATAGAGTAGAACAGTGGTTAGCAGAAGCTGGGGAGGGAGGGAGGCTGGTAAATTTATACCGGATAGAAGGAACAGGGGCCAGTGTTCCACTGCACGGTAGGGTGACTACAGTGAACAGGGTATTTTGACATTACCCACATCTCCTCAGGGATTGCTGACTGCTTTCTGAAGGAAACAAGAGACGGACTAAGACGCCATTGGAATAACCCAAGTGAGAGGGAGGAAGCAACAGAGACGCAGGAAGTGGCTGGATTTCAAATATAGCTAACAAAATCCTAGGGAGATCAATTTAATTATTTGCTTGAACTATTTGCTTAGAACCTTGGCAATTTTCTAAAAAAAAAAAAAAAAAAAATCAACATTACCTTTCAAGCATTGATATTCATCCCTGCTGAAAGAATTCTCGAGAATGTGTTAGATCTTCTGAACACAGGAGTGGCAAAAAATATTCTGATCATCGGTGGCATTAAAAAAAAAAAAAAAAAGAAGAAGCACACATCCTGCCTTGGAACAGATTTTGCCCTAGTGGAAATTACCGAAAAGAAAGACGGCACACCGAACGTTTACAACAGGATGGGTGGTGGGTGGGGACTTACTGAAAATCGATTCAAGAGGCAAAGAATCCAGTCCATTTGTGGGATGGCGGAGTAGAAAAAAGTAGTTATGGGACAAGGGAATGAGGTAAAAAGCATCACCATTGGGGTCAATCGCTCTATAGTCAGTTTTCAAAAAGAAAAGCAAGATACATCACAACCCCAGCTCATGTGGCTCCCCTTAGAGACCTGAAAAAGCAAACAGAATAATAAAATGACGTCTGCTCCCGTAAGTCTGCTCTTTTCCACTGATAACAGGAAATGAATCAGACCTCCTCCAATCGGAGATGATTGACACTGTCGTGGAGTAGCTCCATAAGCATGAGCCAACTCTAGGGGAGATAGAAACCATGTTCTAGTGGACAAGACAGATTCTGATAATAATCCACTGCTTCTGTATTTAATGTGCCACACTTTATATATGGTTTATCCTCATGGTAACTCACTAGACAAAACTGCTATCTCTATTTTATGAAGAAAAACGGAGGCTCGGAGAGATGAGTGATTTGTAGGACTACAAAGCTAGTAAGTAAAAAAGGTAGAGGCCAGGTGCGGTGGTGCACACCTGTAATTCCAGCAGCTTGGGAGGCTGAGGCAGGAGGATTGGGAGTTCAAAGCCAGCCTCAGCACAAATGACCCTGTCTCTAAATAAAATACAAAAGAGGGCTGGAGATGTGGCTCAGTGATTGAGTGTCCCTGAGTTCAAACCCCAGTAACCCCCCCCCCACCCAACACACACACACACACACACACACACACACACACACACACACAAAGGTAGAAAGCTAAACCAGGACTTATTGGTTGCAAGTTCTCCTCTCTTCTCACCCCGAGTTGCTCATCAGCAACTGAATGAGACCACCATGAGTGGAGTGAGTGAAAAATATTCTTTAAGGTGACCCTAAAGCAAACTCTCGAGAAAGCAACCAAGAACTCAGACCTAAAGCAATAGGGGACAAGGTGAGCTTTCTTTAAGAGATATTAAACAGACTGTAAATTTAAGATATTGTTTTGTATAGAAATTCAAACTGGATGCTTTGGAAACTGTAAGGATAATAATAATAATAATAACAACAGTAAGTGTTGAGGAGGCAGACACTGAGCTAGCAGATTCCATGCATCATCCCTAGGCCTTTCAAAATCTTTGTCAAGTAGATGCTTTGATCTGCATTTCATTTGATTTTTTGAATTGCCTCAGTAATAAGGGCTTCCTCAGATTCCCCAAAGGGGCAAAGCCATGCCTTACACCCACAAGGAATCAACTCTGCAGGCTTCCTTCTACCAGTATGGTGAAGTGGTCTAGAGCATGGCCCCTGGGCGCTCTGTCTGGGTTGGAGTTCTGGCTCTGACTTTTCCTAGCTGCATGGCTTAGGAAAGTTACTTATCATCACTCTACCCCAGTATCCTCATTTATAAAATAAGGGTAATAACAGTACCTACCCCATGGGGTTATTCTAAAAATTAAATAAACCACCTTGGGGATGTGTGTGTATTTATATATAKAGAGAGAGCACTTACAATATAATGCCTAGCACATGGTAAGCACCATATATGTTATCAATAATCATCAATAGTTACTGGGTCACACTATTAAAAAAAGAATAAGAGTGTCAGCTACTATTGCATGATTGCTACTTTTCTTTGAATAAAGTGGGAGAAGGACTCTCTATTCACACTACTCGTGGGGTCTCATCTGTTCACAGAGTTAACAGAGACTCTAAGTAACATCATAATCTACTGCAAATGGTAACAACCCAATCTCCTTAAGAGGCAAGCATGCCATCTGATCAGTTCAAAAAACCCCCGAGATATTAATAGCCTTGTACAAACAAAGTGTTTATTATACCTTGTGGTTTTTTAAAGTGGTTTCTATGCTGTGTATGTCTCCAATGTGGCGCCAGGTTAGGATTCAGTATTAAGGGGATTGTATGCCGTAAAATTCCATAAAACAGGAGCACAGTATAATTCTTTTTTTTTGGGGGGGGGTGGGTAGCACTTTTTGCAAGTCTAATTTAACAGAYAGTCAATTTTTTTGGCTGACCTCTTTTTATTTTACACCCCTTTGGGCAATATGAGAATGAAAGCTGAACTCTGTATCACTGTTCGTGTGTGCGCTCGCATGTGTAGTGGGGGAGAGTGTCATTAACCCAGTAGTACTGTGATCCTTGACATGATAGGAACCTCACCTTTTAGTTCTGAAGTCTCTTAAAAAGCCATCTACCTTGAACTTTCACCCTAAAGCCTTAGGGATGCACATTTTAAAGTCTTTTGCAGAGGTGGTTTACACAGAATGTCCTTAAAGGCAATTCACTCTTCCCTACTGAAATTGTTGTTTACTTATTTGCTCCATAAACTTCAATTCACCCTTTCATCCTCAAATCTGAAAATCCATTTAGTATACAGTTTGAGGCCAAAAAAATAAATAGATATAAATGACTTAGGATTTAGCCACTGTTTTAGATCCTTGCAACCAGCCTCCTCTAGAACTGAGATTTCCGTGCGTTGGAAAAGCTGGTTATTTTTCTAATGTAACTTAAACAAGGATTTAAATGCCACATTTGAWAGAAAGAGGTCAGAGAAAGCAGGAGGAGATTTTTGTTTTACTCTCATTTGTCAAAGTTCTGATCGAGTGATCAGTAGAGAAGGGAGTTCCCTTCCTAAGCTTATGGTGGTGCTGAAGCTGGGTGACCTACTTCTYTATAAAAATGAATAGTGCCAGAGTCTTTGAAGGCCACAGACAAGAAATCCAGGTTTTTTTTTTGTAAACCCACTGAGATTGTTTCATCTCAGCACATTTGTCTTCCACTGAAGAACAGCCACCCACCAGCAGAGTGTCTTCTATTAAGCTGTCTGGTGCCAACATTTGTGGCCACATAACAGCCTCACATGAGAAGGTGACATTTTGCTAGCTCTTTCTCTTGATGCAGTATGACATATGAACTCAGTACACCACTGTGCTTCCTCAGGGAGTTATTTTTGCATAATTTTATTCAGCCGTCTGGAATTCATAAGCTAATCTTAAAAATGACCTGGTAACTGATTTTCACTGATATGTCAATCAAAGACTTTCCCCTGGAGGAATGGCAGGTACMGAAGTCAAATCTAAGATGGTGACATGGAAGGAAAACATATGTTGGGTGCCCACTTTGCACCTGGCAAACATACACCTTGTTTCATCTCACTCTCACAATAAATGGAAAGTGAATCAGGAATTCCTCAKGAAAACATAGGTCATATTTCCTATGACATTGAACACCACACCAGCCTGCTTCATAAAGGGTGAGTAGGGAATACAGAGGTAGCCACCAAATCCCAAAGGTAGCAAACACACTGAAGCACAATGAAGATAGTCCTAACATAATACTATGCACTCTAATTAACCAAACCCACTTTTCTATCTAATCTATTCAAATAGCCCTGCAATACATATT